GATTCAACTCAACTCCCTTCTATTCTGTGAGATTTCCTTGTAATATCCTAGCCTTCATTGAGCTCGTTCCTATAATATTATGGAGCAATTATTTTGTGCTAGGCGTTAGAGCCTTTTACTGTTATTTAGTCCTTCCTGGCTATCTTGTGTCACTTATCATCTCTTTTTAAATTATTTTTATTGGAATATAATTCACACATCTTTTAAAGTTTTTTTAATATATTCACAAAATTACGCAACCATCATTGCACCATTATATAATTACAGAATATTTTCATCCTGCCAAAGGAAACCTAATTAATTAACAGTCACTTTCTGTTTCTCCTGCCCCCCTGCCTCCTGCCTATATCTATTTTTTGTTTTTATGGATTTACCTATTATGTGCATTTCATATAAATGGAATCATATAATATATAGTTTCTTATATCTGACTTCTTATACTTAAAATGATATTTTTAAGGCTCATGTATGTTATGACATGTACCAGTACATCATTCCTTTCATGGCTGAATAATGTTTCATTATATGGATATACCACATTTTCTTTATCTATTCATCAGTTGATAGACATCTGGGTTGTTTCCACTTTTTGCCTATTATGAATAACGCTCCTATGAACATTTGTATAAAAGTTTGTGTGTGATCCTGTGTTTTCACTTTTCTTAGGTATATACCTAGTAGTGGACTACTGAGCCTTACCTTATAGTAACTCTATGTTTAGCTTTTTGAGGAACTGCCAAACAATTTTTCAAAGCAGCTACACCATTTTACATTACCACTAGCAATGTATGAGGGTTCTAATTTTTCCAAATCCTCACCAAGCTCATACTTTCTTTTTGATTATAGCCATCCCCATGGGTGTGAAGTCATATCTCATTGTGGTTTTGATTTGCATCTCCCTAGTGACTAGTGATGAGCATCTTTTCATATGCTTATTGACCATTTGTATATTTTCTTTGGACAAATATATATTCAAATCCTTTGCCCAAGTTTAGATGTGTTATTTGTCTTTTTATTGCTGAGCTGTAAGCTTTCTTTATATGTTCTGGATACTAGACCCTTATCAGATACATAATTTGCAGATATTTTCTCCCCTTCTGTAGGTTGTTTTCATTTTCTTTACAGTGCCCTTTGCAGCACAAAAGCTTTTAAATTTGATGATGTTCACCTTTTAATTTGTTTATGCTTTTGTTGTCATACCTAAGAAACCATTGTCTAACCCAAGGTTATGAAGTTTATACCTATGTTTTCTTCTAAGAGTTTTGTAGTTTTTGCTCTTATATTTAGGCCTCTGATCCATTTTGAGTTAATTTTTGTCTGTGATATGAGGTAAGTGTCCAATTTCATTCTTTTTTGCATGTGGCTACCAGTTTTCCCACCACAGTTTATTTATTTATTTATTTATTATTATTATTATTTTTTTTTTTTGGTACGCGGGCCTCTCACTGTTGTGGCCTCTCCCTTTGCGGAGCACAGGCTCCGGACACGCAGGCTCAGCGGCCATGGCTCACGGGCCCAGCTGCTCTGCGGCACGTGGGATCTTCCCGGACCGGGGCACGAACCCGTGTCACCTGCATCAGCAGGCGGACTCTCAACCACTGCGCCACCAGGGAAGCCCCACCACAGTTTTTTTAAAGATTATTCTTTTCCCATTGAATTTTCTTGGGTCCCTACTGCTTATCTTTTAACATATATGGTTTTTATCACCTCTAGTTAGGCAGTAAGATTTTTGAGGGCAGGGGTTTTTTCTTACATTTAGGTATACCCTCTGTACTTAACAGGTTGCCATACCCATAGTAGGTGTCTGATGGATGTATTACTAATGTCTGTTTTTCCAACCAGATACTAAGCTCTAAAATGAGAGGACTTGCTTATTTTTGCTTACCAGTAGCCTGGGATCAGTAAGTACTTTTGGATGATTGAATTAATGATTTCCCAATGATGAGTTCGTGTCTTACTTTAGGATTTTTGTTCTCCCTTGCAGCAGGATGCATACTAGGTAAGAGTAATTTTCTTACAGTAAGTCACCAAGGGAAGAGGTGAACAAGGGGCAAACATGACTCCGTGGGAAAATCCTAGCTTAGCTTTGATTTTGCCACCATATGATTCTACCATATTCATTTTATATTGCTTGGTCCTCTTTGGCTCAGAACATATAACCAGGTTTTGAATGAAAGGAAACCGCTTTAAGGTTTAGACTTAGGAAAATTTCCGATTTGTGTTTTAGGTTATGTACCAAGAATTTAAAACAAAGTCAAATCCAAGCTACCATTTCTGTGTATTGGGCTTTTCTCTTCTGAAAGTGTAATAAAAATGAATTCCCTGGTTTTTAACAAGTGCCAGTACTTCTATTGGTGGACTTTGATGAGGCCTAATGTGTGAAACCACATTTTGAATAATGAGAACAGGAAATATGTTTCTTTCTTGCTCATGGTTTCTGCAGCTATAAAAGTGATTTGCAAAAAGAAAAGAAAAAAAGGAAATAACGCTAAGTATCCAATTATAGAGGAAGGGTGAATTTATTCTATATTGATTCAATGAAGTGCTAAGTTGCAACTAAAAATAATACTTAAGAAAATTATATACCAGTAAAGAAACATATTTATGACATAAATTTAAGTATAAAAAGATTACATTGTGCAGTGATTGCAACTAGGTAAAATTATATACTGTTGTGAACTAAGGTGATCAACCATCCTCGTTTGCCTCAGACTATCTGGTTTTTAGCACTAAAAGTCCTGTATCCCAGGAAATCTCTCAGTCCTGAGCAGAGTGGGGTGGTCCGTCCCCCTACTATGAACAAATTGCCAAAGAGATCATTGGGGAGGTCATAGCAAGGATTTTCATTCTTTTTTAAGAGTAGACATCAGCGGTGTCTCGTTATAAGGAGTTAACGTGAGGTCAGAAAAAACTAACTATTTGAGATCATAAAAATGAATGAAATAAACTAAAATTCTTAAGGAAACCATGGGTTTGGAGAAGGATGCTCATATATATTTCAGAAGTGGAGAAAATGAGATAGAAATAAGATCTTGTCTCTTTTGAAGGTTTTCTCACTGAATTTTGCCTTGAGTCTGCCATTGCCACAACCTCTTCCCTTTCCCCTAGTCCAAGGCAGGCACTGGTCCTAGTCTACCACCATATATTCCAGTCACATTCTGGACCGCAGACAGCAAGGTGTGTGTTATTAATGACCTGTTCCAGGAAAATTTTCCACAGGAATATGTGCGTGTGGTAGAATATATTGACGTGAATAGTCGATGTCTTGACATCTTACAGTTCAAACCCAGATTGGGATTATGTGAATATGAGTTTAAGGCTGCTGGAGCCTCCCATGGTCAAAATGTTACAAGAGTAAAGAAGGTTAGAGAAACACCATGTTGGAATCATCTGCTGCAGACGAGAACACACATATAGTTTTATTCATTGAAAGCCATTTTTGAGGACATAGACAGAAATGTCCCACCTCCTTTTTTTTTTTCCTAATCACAGGAGGTATCTTCCATTGGTGGTCAAAGTGGAAATAGCACTGAGAGTGGAAATTACATTGTCTATGTACCTGCCAGAGTCTGGCAGCACTCAGCCTGTAGCAAATGCTCAAATGTAGTTGATAGCTCATAGTGACGCCTTCCTCGTTTAACATTCTTTCTATGTAGGGTACTAACGTCTCTGAACATGAAAAAGAATCTAGAAATAGGGTAACTATTCCCTGAGATTTGGCATCATAAGTAATTGTGTTATTTTCAAGCATGGTCTTCTTTCTCAGAATGTCTGTAGCACTTAGTGTCTGCATTCTATAATCTGACAGCTAATTGTATATTAATGATTTTTCAAAGGTGGTGAATGTCTAAGTCTTTTTGTCCCCAAGGGGTAAAACCTGATTTCTGACTCTTTTGTGTCTTTCTCAACACCTGTTTCATGCTGGTCAGAGACCAGGTGCTGATAAAACCTGTTGACTTGGCTGTAGTAGTTTATGCAGACATTGGATAGGCAATTTGGTTATTTCAAGCATTGTAGCATTTGAATAAGAAGATCTAGGTATGAAACAGGCTCTCATAATTACTTGCAGTGACCATTGACAAATTACCTTTACTTATTTATTTGCTTATTTTCTCTTTGAACGTTTGTAAAATAGGGATAGGGATCTTTTTTCCTTGATCATGGAAGCTCAGTTGCAATTATTTGATAAAATACTTTGTGAACTGGAAAATATTCTACAAGTATTGATTATCCTTTGTAATTTGGGTACTCCTCATGGCACTTTTTCTATCATTCTTTCTTCCTCTGCCTAAAGGCTAAAAGTAGGTAGAGAGTGCAACCAAGAGCCTAGAAGAGGAGTTAGGGGAAGTTAAGACAGACAGAGATGTGTAAGCGGTGCTGTTTGTACAAAGACAGGGCTGAGGACTGGCCACTTAGAGCTGTCCCAGTGGGGTGTGGAAGCCACAGTGTCAGCCCCATATAAAGAGAGATGGAATGGGATCTTTATTGTACCTCATTATTATTTTTTTGCTTTCCTGAAAACAGTGGTGCAAAAGAGCCTCCACGAAAAATGTAGATGTGGAAGGAATTAAAGATAGCTTAGGGACGGCACGGAGCAGTCACTTACGTTTTTCATCTGGTGCAGAGTCTCCCTATTGTAGAGGGAAAAAGTGAAAAAAAAAAAACCCGAACTACTACTGCTCTGACTACTGCTACACCTTATCCAAGGAACAGGCCAGTGAGAAACCACTTTCTGAAGCCCTTATTCAGCCTATTTTTTTTAACATAAGAATGCTGTCCTAAACAAGAAACGTGATGATACAGTCTACGACAATGGCCTATGTTCATCCTCTGAATGAGGACGGGGCGAAGGGAGCTGTGGTTACTCCATGCAAAGACCAGAGCGACATGGAGGCTGCATGCAGAGTGCCTTCAGAAATGGGGGTACATAAGGCTCTTGGAAGCTGTGAACGTTAATGGCTGGAAAAAAAAAAGAAATCAGAAAACAGAAAACAAATAGTTTAAGGGACGCTATCATTTTCTATTGGTGAGGCTTCCTGATCTTGGGGAGGTTCTGGAAAGTTTATTTCTGTTTCTCTTTCTCCTTCCTCCTCGCCTTCTTGGACTGGAATAATTTCAATGTCCTCTTCATTCTTTGGTTGGGAAGATATTTCAATCTGCTCAGCCACTTCTTTTATTTCAATTGCCTGTTCCTTTTTTTCTTCTGCTGACAGGAGAACTACATTCTGGAACACAAAATTGAACCAACTTTTCTTGACCTCTATCACTGGCACATTTCTCAACAATCTGTATGAATATCAAATGCCTCCTGGTTTTTATGCTATTCGTGTTATTTTCTGTATGCTTCCCAGTACCAGGATTGATCTCCCAGATGCTCAAATCCTTATCAAATCACTTATCAAGGCTCATCCTCAAGGCCAGCAGACACTTGCCACTTTGCCTGGAATGATCACACAGTGTTTGGGAAATAACACTGCAATAATAGAGGAATTTAGATTTTAGTTTTGACTGGCCTTTATTGGAGGTAGCCTTGGGAAAGTAACTTTCTGTCTCCAGTCCTGTCCTCCTCATCTGCAAAATGAAGGCATTGATGATGACTTCTAAATTCTCTTCCAAAGCTAACATCCTATGGTTCTGAAGCAGCTGATAATAGACCTGTCACTGGGATATTCGTATCTCCCAATTGTGGAGCCTCTTTGAACCTATTGTTTTGGAAGAGGGATTAGAAGGAAAGAGGGGAGGAGAAGGGAATACTGAGAAATGAGGTGGAAGAAATAGTGGCTTTAATCAGCCTTCAGCCATCCTGTTTTTATGCATTAAGTATGGAATTCTGAAGTCAAGAGGGATGACTTGAAGTCCAGCACGGTTAGTAAGAGGATGTACATAGCATAGGACTGTATCCTCTGTCTAACCTTTAAACCTATTTCAGATTTCAAGACACTTTTCTCCATTACTGGTATCTTCTGCTTTCCAGAGATATGCTAGGATCACTTTTCATGATGTTCCCAGGCTCATCAGATTCCACTCTCCATAAATGACTCTTTGTACATGTGATTTTCCTACAGGGAGTTTGTGAACAGCGTGGCTTCTACTTACAGCTTTGGGTCTGGAGCATATTTTTTTCCATTCGTTCTCAACAGTGCCAGCTGTCACAAGTTTCTGGAGGAAGGCAAAGAGCAACATCACTGCAAAAATGCCCTGAAGAACAGAAAAGTGAGGGTGAAAAGGTGATAATGAAAATATAAGAATATGGCTGGTGCTCAGTAAGTGACTGTTGACTGAAAGATCAATTCTTTAGGGAAATAATGACTGACTGTGAGAACTGCTAGTATCCGCATAACCCTAACCCTTAGCACAACTCCTGGCACATAACGGATAGGGCATGTTGCTGACAGAAAGTAAAGCAGTAATAATTAGTTGAAGAATCAATTCTGTGTAGGCGAGAACAATTATTGAGTCCCAAATTGAACTGTATCCAGCTTTAGGTGGTATGGTATCGCACTAAGGAAATCTCTCCACACTTGGGAGATGCATTTTTTTCCCCTTCAAACTCTACACTGAAAACTCCTTGAGGGGGCTTCCCTGGTGGCGCAGTGGTTGAGAGTCCGCCTGCCGATGCAGGGGACACGGGTTCGTGCCCCGGTGGGGGAAGATCCCACGTGCCTCGGAGAGGCTGGGCCCGTGAGCCGTGGCCGCTGAGCCTGCGCGTCCGGAGCCTGTGCTCCGCAACGGGAGAGGCCACAGCGGTGAGAGGCCCGCGTACCACACACACAAAAAAACTCCTTGAGGCAAATGATGTTTATTACAACTTAGGTTCTTCAGTGTTCATCTTAATCAATAATAATAGTAATAATAAATTTTCTGTTAATAATATAATAATAATAAATGTTAAAGCAAACACTTAAATAGCACTTCCTTTGTACCAGACACTGTTCTAAGTGCTTTCCATGTATTAACTCATCCCTCAAAACAGCCCTATAAATACTACAAACAGCAATTTTAAATACTATTACCTTCCCCATTTTACAGTTGAAGAAAATGAGACACAGTGTGATCAGAATTCTTGCTCAAAGCCATATAGGCAATAAGTAGCAGACACAGACAGTCTGGATCTCGAGTTGATGGTCATAAGAAAAATGCCATACTTCCTCCCTGAAAATAAACCCAGTTTCACACTTACCAAGAACAAAAACCGTATGCTGTCACAATATTGCATAGATAGAGAGTTTTTGTCAGCGGGGTTAGCTGGTTCACAGTTGTGTATGTTAATATATGGTGTGGGAGCCTTAGTAAGGTTCAGACTCTCCATTTTAAAAAAATGGGAAATTGTCAGATTAAATATGTCCATGACCAAAAAAATTATTCCAGAAATAGCAGCAAAGAGGCTCAATGAGTTCATTATTATTCTCCCTCTGACCTGAAATAGAGACATAAAGATTTATTAATTGAGTTTAATTACCAATGGAAGAATATAAGCTAGGAAGGAATTCCAGATCCCATTCCCCTGACTCATTAAGGCACTACACCTAAATCATACTAAGTTCTGTTTCTCTCAGTTGTTTTTAGTCTTTTTGTCACTATAAAATGAAAACCTTCATGTCTGAACCTTGTCCCTTTCTCAGATTTCCCCATCTCATTTATGCCACCACCATCCAATCAGTTCATCAAGAAAACATCCTAGGATTAATCCTTGTACTCCTTTCACTGCCACTGCCACCAGAATACTAGTAGGCATTCAATACACAATTGTTGAGTAAATGAAATGAATAGTATTCAGATTGGATCACAGTGAAGCGGGATGGTATTGTGGGTATAGGTAGGGAAAAAGGAGG